TTAATGAGAAACTATTTGTTCTGTAAACCTTTACCTAAAGTACAATTAAAAAAAATTTAAAAAAAAAAACCAACAACAACAGGATGTCAAGTACCAATGTCTTAAAATTTTGATAAGCTGTTAGGTCTAGAGTTTACAAATTAATAATTTAATATTATATATACCAAGTCTGAAAAACTAATTATTCACATCAATTTAACAAAGTTGTTAGAGAAAATGAGAGCATCATTACAAAGATGTCATGTACAGCACACAATTTGAAAGGGACAGTCAAGATCAGAGAGCATTGCAATGGAAAACAGCAAGAGTATAGAAAATAGGAACTGAAAATATTTAAGACATGTTAAATGCTTGATTATGACTCCAAAGTGCCACTTTCCTTTGCCCCATATTTAGGATATAAAAATTGCACAACCCCATCCCCATCAGCTGTGGGATGTTAAATTGGCCCACAAGAGAGTCCAGGCCTCCTTTATTTCTGTATTCTACTAACTTCTAGTTGTACAGAAAAATAAACAGTAGCACATCATTTTACATCTTAAAAATAGCATTTACACTTCAGTACCTATCTGTCTGGAGGTAGATTCTTTCCAGGTTTATTTTGGGTTTGGTTTAATTTTTGCAGGCCCAGGGTTGGAGACACCTTACTGATCTCTTGGGGACTTCCTCTGCCACCACTTCAGCTGACTCGACCTTCGTCTTGGCACTGAAGGCGTCCTAGTGGTGATGGTTGTAGCAGGGAGGCAGAGCCAGGTGCCTGGCTGGGACCTCTCTTTGGAGTAGATTTAGTTTTATTGTGTGTGTTTTCTTTTCTTCTTCTTTTTTAATTACATCGCATAGTTGAATTTAAGCTTTTGGTCAAATCTTAGCCTTACTTTTTTTAATAGGCAAATATGCCCTAGTTACATTTTTTTTGGAGGGAAGTCAAAATAGTATATGTGGTCTTCTAACATTTTACTATATTTTAAATGCTTCCTCTCAATTTCCTTTTTTGTTTTCTCTTTATAATATAAGTTGTTATTTTCCTCTTGCCCCCTGCACTCTCTTAGAGCATTGGAAACTATTTTTAAAAGCTCTGGGAGTGTTACTTTTAAGAGATTAAAAGTTCTTATACTCTTAAGTTTAGTCTCTCAAAAAGCTATTTGGGAGACTAAAAATTGCTAAACCTCTACCTTCCCAAGTTGTCCTTTTTAATCCACTGGCACTGCTACATATTTTCTTAAGAATGTAAAGCATATGCCTCCCAAAAGTTACTTGCAGTGTTTACAATAAATGACTTTCAAAATTTATGCTACTCCTAACTCTTGCATGCTGTAGTAAGATTATTATTTATGCTACTAGAAGGCAGGAGGGGACAGGAAAGCTGGTGATAGGGAACCCAAAGTTGAGTAAGGACAGTGTTGACATGTTTGGGGTTGTTAACCATTGTCATAGGGCAATATGTGTACTAACTGTTTAATGAGAAACTATTTTGTTCTGTAAACCTTCATCTAAAGTACAAAAAAAAAAAAAAAAAAAAAAAAATTATCTATGTGAGAACAAATTGACAACAGCAACTCAAAAGATTTGATGGGAAGCCTAGGGGACAGTGAGTTGAAGACAATGGTGATAGAATAATTTGGAAAAGGATAGTGAGAATAGCAGCACAACTGGAAGAATGTAATCGATGTCACTAAATTGTACATGTAGAAATTTTTGAAATGGTGTATGTATCTTTAGCTATGTATATTATCACCAAAACAAAAAAAAAGGTCCTCCAAGGTTGAGAAGGGAGAGTGTTGACATGTCATGGGGTTGTTAACCAAAGTCATAAAACAATACGTACTGACTGTTTAATGAGAAACTATTTGTTCTGTAAACCTTCACCTAAAGTACAATAAAAAAAATTTAAAAAAAAGATTATTATTTACGCTGCAGAATATTTTCAAATGCCCTGTTTGTTTGCTTTTCTTCCTTCCTTTCTCTATCCCTTCCTCCTTCTACCCCTCCCTCCCTCTCCCTCTTTCTTTGTTAAATGATTACTTAATCCCCTTGCTTTAGGTCTTGTATTTGCCTAAAACTAGTCTCTCACTGTTAACTTGAAAAAATGTTAAAGTCTTCGTCATTGAACTGGAGCTGAAATGCTAAATGAAGCAGGACAATAGTCCATTGATTCAGAAGGATGAGTAGGTGGAGAAAGAATTTCGGCTGTGGGCAGTCCCAGCCAGGCAACTTCATCTCTGTCCAATTTTTCTGAGTCTGTTGAGACTGCAGAATCAGGGACCCATGTGCCATGCCTGGCCCCACTGCTGGCTAACCCTTGGCTGTGCTAAGCCTCCTTCCTCAAGCTGCTGCTAACCCTGAGGCGGGGGGTGTTCCGTCTCGCTGAGTAAGGGGGTCATCTGCTCCTGTCTGTCGGTGCTGGAGTTAGTGCTACCAGTGCCAGAGGAAACATTCCAAAAGGTTATTGACTTCATGTCTCTTGTGGCTGGGAGTATTTTCCCAGTCTCTTTCCCATCTCCAGATAGGCATTGTGGGTGACCCAGTTCTTCTAAGTGGAGGAGATTTGCTTAAGGCTTGCTCCTGCAGCCTGTTTACATCTCCAGCACTTAGGCTTCAAGATGAAAATACATAAGATGTCTTTCATAAGAAACCTGGGCAACTACTTATTAACTTTGGAGCTGTAGCTAAGCATTTACTGAATGTGTGGATAAAAAAGTAACTTAGTTGTTAATTAATTGTTAACTGTTGCACAGGTTTGAACAATTACATTGTTTTTAAAGCCCTTTCTGATAGTTTTATCTAATAGGGCCCTGTGGTTCCATTTTCATTAATGGTCAATCCTTTTTTAGCAGACTTACCCAACTCTTAGACAGGCCTGGAACTGACCTGGTTAACGTTGCATGTATTAGCTTGGGTGGGAAGCTGCGGTAGAAAAAGCTATAGCTAGACTGGGAGTTAGGATGGTTAATTAAGCACCATTCTGGGCACGCTGTTCGGACATCACGATCTTTAGTTTTTTCCTCCAGAAAATGGGAATAACACCACATCACAAGGTTTTTGCGAGGAATAAACGAGACCATATTAAAAAAAAAAAAAAAGGCAATGTGCCAGGAATCACAGGGTACTCTATAAGAGGAAGGTTGCACAGTCCTTTTTCCTGAAGTGGACAAGAGAGGATGTTTTCTTCTCACAATTCCACTCCTTTAAGAGAAAAATATTCTAGCTAAAAGACAAACAGGCAGGCTGTTCCACTTTGTTCATTCATTCATTCCTTCACAGCTCTTTACTGAAGACCCACAATTGTGCCAGGCACTGCTCTAGGTACTGACATACAACAGTCAACCAAGCCAACCCCTCTAGTCATGAAGCTTATGTTTTCATGGAGGAGACAGGCAATATATAAATGCAAAGGCAAGGTCATTTTAGTTAGTGATAGATGCCATTAAAACAAGTGGAATAGAGGGACAGAAAATGACTTGGTGGAGGAGGCAGAATGGATGCTATTTTAGATAGTGTGATCCATAGTTATTAATTCTGGAGAGTTAAAACATGCAATTAATAAACCACCTTGCAACAGCATAATGCTTGAAGTTTCCCAAAGACTTTCATATCTCTTTTCCTTTTTGCACTTTATAATAACTCTTTGATGTGCACAGTTGAGATATGATCTGGATTTGACAGTCAGCACAAGGAATTGGAGAACCAGTTGGACAAAGTATCAAAATAGTGAATGTACATACCCATCTCCTGTCTGGTGCTGGCCACGCCTGTGCCATATGCCTCTAAAACATCCTTTACTGTCCTCATAGATTCATCATACCTGCCTGCAGAGCCCAGGAAGTTATAGGAACCCATGTTGATGACATCTTTGATGATTCTTCCAGTAAACCTGCAGAGATAGGGGCAAGTGAGCACAAAGGGCTTTTCCATTTAATATCATTCTAAATAAACAAAAACCCAAACTCATTGCTGTCAGGTCAATTCCAAGTCATGATGACCCCATGTGTTGCAGAGTAGAACTGTGCTCCACGGGGTTTTCAAGATTGTGATCTTTTAGAAGCAGATCTCCAGGCCTTTCTTCCAAGGTGCCTCCGGATGGGTTTGAACCACCAACTTTTTGGTTAGTAGTCCAGCACTTAACTGTTTGCCCCACCCAGAGCCCTGTAAAAGACTCACAAAGAGACCTTCAGTCTGACCAAAATCATATATTTTCTTTTTTAAACTTTCACTCTTGGCACCATAAAAGGGCTTGCCTTTAGAGGAGAATAAACTCATACTGAAGTTTGGCAGAACATTGGAAAGAGGCATCCTAAGCCTGACTTAGCCCTGATTTTCCTTGGGCACTTGCTTTCATGACACATAATCTGGTTTTAATTCCAGCACACTTTCTGAATGAGCAACAGCCACAGTGATCCCTTTCTCTTTCAATGAGAAGTAAGAGGGTACAATTTGTCAATAAAACTGAAAAGGGCCCCTCCTAGTTGGCTCTGTGTGTCAGGTCCTGCACCTGCTGGCATATATCTAGCTTTAGTTGCAATATAAACAGACATCCTTGGCAACTTAATTACTGTGACTTCTTCCACTGGCATTACAAGGCTGAATGTGGAAGACCAGCCAGTTCCATGTCCTTGGTTTCTTCAGAGCTGAAATCTGGTGCCCAAATCAGTATTTCCTTGAGAAGAATTGTCTTTCAACCGACCCCCTCCAGGTCACAGCCTCACCTAAATGTCCAGTTGTAGTCATCTGATACCCTCTCCATAACATCGAACCGAGGCCCCGGGGCGCTGCAGATAGGCCGGTTCCAGTTGTCTCTGATCCGCATGTATATGTTTCGCTTGAAAAAATTTTCAAAGTCTAGATACAGCGGCACAAAATCCTGTTATAACAGAGGTAGAAGTTTAGTTTTAGTCTCTCTTTTTTTCATATTTCATTTGCAATGGAAGATTAGGAGGAAAGCCGTACAAATAAAGTATCATTAGATAATTTTGATCCAGAGCCAGCGGGTAAGGAGCCAGGTAGTGTCCAAAATACATTTCCAAAGAATTTACTCTTTAGTGGAGGTAAAAAATGAAATAAATTAAGCTAACAAAGATGAGAGGGCAATATAAGTCCCCCCAAAAGTGACAGAGACAATGAATCACCATAGTGTTGTGAAGGAGAGAAGAATTTCCTCTGAAGACTAAGAGCACGTGGCTATGTCCAAAGCAGTTTAGTTAGAAAAAAATTGTTTGAGACACCAATTTCAGCTTAACTTTCAAAAACATGAACATTGCCACTTGCTGTGTTTTCAGAAGTGTGAATGGACTTGGAACTGTTGGACTTGTTGACAAAATTGTTGTTGGCAGGTGGCTGTCTGTCATATGGCTGAGGGCTTGGAGGCATCTGGCTTCTTTCACAGCTGAGGTAGCAGCACTGTGCTGCTATATAACATGTAATCCATGCCTTGAGGGATTTCCAGTCCAGCTGAAGTTAAAGCAAGACATATCTAACTCTGTCATCTAACTTCTAGGAGTTAGTATAAGGTAAAACCAAAAACCCATTGCTGTTGAGTCGATTCTGACTCACAGTGACCCTATAGGACAGAGTAGAACTGCCCCATAGAGTTACCAAGGAGCAGTTGGTGAACTGCTGACCTTTTGGTTAGCAGTCTTAGCTCTTAACCAGTACGCCATCAGGGTTTCCTCCAGAAAGATGTGACCCTTCCTCTTGCTGTAATCCTATGGACACCCAAAGTAACAGCTTAGACCAAAATTTTAGCTTTTTCCATTTTCTGCCTTCGTATAAGAGCAAGAGGAAGGGTCACATCTTTCTGAAGGAATCTTAGTTTACTAAGAGTAAATATAAGGTAGAAAATGGCAAAAACCATAATTTTGGTCTAAACCAAGTACTTTGACAATCCGTAGGATTAGAGCAAAAGGAAAGGTCACTTCTTGCTAGAGTAATTAGGGCGGCTTATGTAGGAGGAGCCTTGGAGTTGGTCACTGAAGGCAGAATAATATTGTTGTGGGCAGGGATGCTTGGGGAGGTCACTCAGGGTGAATGGGGCCAGTAGGCTGGGAATGTGGGGTGTGTTTGAGAAGAGCTAGTAAGCATAAAACATAGGGCAAATCCTGTCAGTCTTTGCTCAGAACCTATAATGGCTCCCACCTGAGTCAATGTCAAGTTCTTGACCAAGGCCTTGCATGGTCTGACTCCCCGTTACCTCTGTGATCCCATCCCCTACTACGCCTAGTGTGGGTGAGCCTGCGAATGTCGCTGGCGCACAGATGGTGGAAGCCTTAAATGTCTGCATGAGGAGTGTGGCCTCATTCTGTAGGCAATGGGGAACCACTGAGTAATTTGAGCAGGCTTTCACATTCTCCCTCACATCCTCTTTGAGCTCTTAGCACTCTTTCCCCTGCTGGAACAAAGTTGACTTCCCCAGAGAATGAGGAGGACCATGGGGAAAGGCTTTCTGGAAGACCTTATATGCTACTTATTTGCCCCATTCACCCCTTGAGCTCGTTCATTTCAGAGGAAAATATGTAGGCTCTGTAGGTTTCGGCAGCTGGTGGCTGCATCCAAGTCACAGCCCTTTGTCGCACTGCGTGCTTTGGTCCTAAGTGACAATTACATCATTTTGGGGGAAGAATTGCGATTATTTGTAGGAAAGAATGTTCATAACCATTTGTTATTGTGTGCCATTGAGTTGATTATGACTCACAGTGACCCTATATGACTGAATAGATCTGCCTCATAGGGTTTCCTAGGCTGTAAATCTTTACGGGAGCAGATTGCCAGGTCTTTTTTTTTTGTTTTTCTGCAGAGCTGCTAGTGGGTTTAAACTTCTGATCTTTCGGTTAACAGCCAGACGCTTAACAATTGTGCTACCAGGACTCCTTCATAAGCACATAAAAAAACCAAAACCAAACCCATTGCTGTTGAGTGGATTCTGACTCATAGCAATGCTATAGGACAGAGCAGAACTGCCCCATAGGGTTTCCAAGGCTGTAAATCTTTACAGAAGCAGACTGCCATGTCTTTCTCCCACGGAGCGGCTGGTGGGTTCAAACCACCAACCTTTTGGTTAGCAGCAGACTGCTTTAACCACTGAACCACCAGGGCTCCTCATAACCACCTACTGGGGACTCTATATTGCATGTGAATTTTAGGCACTATTTGGAAGATGATTGGGCAACTCTATTGATTACATTTAGAAGTTGAAATCTCATACTAAGTATATTTGCTCTCAAATAGCAAAATACTCTGTTTTATTATGATTCAAAGCTACAAGTGTTTGATAATCAATCATATACCCTTTCATACTCTCACAGGGAAATTGACATATTTTTGAGATACAAGGAGAGGGAATAATTCCAGAAAAGTCTTTTCTAAACTATTTCTCCTTTGATTCAATAGCAGTTTTTTTTTTTGACTGTTTACTGCTTTGTGGATTATCCTATGTATCAAAACGTTATTTGGGTCCCTCTCATTCTAATTCTTTAAAGCCGCATTTGAAATAATATTACATAAACATTCCTACCAAGAGAAAAGAAACAAGTAGGCCTGTAAGTAATATTTCTGGATTCTGCATGGAAGCATAGTTTTAGATTTCATGAGAAATCTTACTTAAAATAAAGGAACAGTTGGTTTAGGAGAGAAAGAGTAAAGAACCAAAGTACTCTGTCTATAAAATTGCAAACTAAAATTAATTTCAGAGATGGAACCACAAGATTCACAACATATCAAGGGTGGAGGGGATGTAGATTCTATGATCATATAATTCAAATAATCCATTTGACATGTGAGGATAAGCAAACCTAGAAAGGTGAGTGATTTGAACTCTGGTTGGTCTCCTGCCTTGTCCACTCTTCTAATCAACCACTTCAGAGTGGTACCAGGCTTGAACCTGCCCAGCTTTTCCCAGCCTACCTCTAAAACACCAGTGATGACAATCATCATGACCCATAGCGTGGAAAACTAAGGCCAGTAGATTGCCAAAGTGTGGGGGAAATGTCCAGTAGTCATAAGGAATTTGGTGTTGACTTGAGGAAAATAGCCTGTGGCTTGCCACCTGAGAGAAGGCAGAAGGACACTTCATCCTGACCAACCTTTCTACCTTTGGCTCAGTGACCCAGAATTTGCACCTATGAGGAAGTGGGCAGATAGCTCTTAATTTACATAAGTGCTCTGAGGGCAAGACACAGGATTTTGACCTACTTTTTGGGATAAGGAAGGAGCTCTGTTGGCACAGTGGTTAAAGCCATCAACTGCTAACTGTAAGGTCATCGTTTCAAAACCACCAGTGGCACCACAGGAGAAAGATGTGGTAGTCTGCTTCTGTAGCCTTGGGAGCCCTATGGGGTTGCTATGAGTCAGAATAGGCGTGACAGCAGAGATTTTGGTTGGTTTTCTTTTGCGGGATCAGGGAAGACCTCTTTTTAGGGAATGGTTTTCAGGTCCAGTAGAAATTTTATTAAAAAGCTACCTGAAACTCTCTTGCAAAGAACCGATTTTATAACCACACAGAGCTATTTCTTTGTGGTTGAAGTGAGCACTAACCCAGATCTGAAACACTAGTTCAGCAGCCTATATGTTCCTGAGAGAGACATGAGCTTGGAAACCTACTTAGAATTCAAGAACAGGTCCTGGAATGAACTGACTTGCTTTTGAGCATCATCCTCTTCTTCTTCCCCACCCGTGAGGCTTCCTGCCTCTGCGTGGGTGCATGTTCACTCCACCCCATTCCTTTGAGCACCAGGGATGTTTCTTCAGGAGCAACACTGTGCAAAGGTCAATGCCCTCTAGTCTCAGGCAAGCCTCCCACAGCACTTTAACTACACCAGAAAATGAAATTGGACTTGATATTGCAAAAACAGAAGCATTTCAATAAGACATATCTTTATCCATCTGTATATTTAATATGTCACTTTGCTTACTCATTATCTTTATTTTTCTTCCTGAGACAAATGGATAGATGTGATAATTAAAGCTGGGTGGTAAGGACATAATCATTTTTGGGTATAGGATGAGGGAGAGGTCAAGTGAAACTGAAATATGCAGCCATGAAAATGGTTTAGTTTCTTCTGCAATGTGACAATCCTTCTGCAATGTGACATTTCTTCTGCAATGTGACAATCTTTCTTTTTCTACCTTTCAATTTATATGGTAATTTATCATTTTCAAAATGTCATAGATATTTCTATCCAACCCTTTTAGACAAGGCAGAAAATTTCAGAGGACAAATTGGGAATTGTGCCCAGTTTCAAAGCCAATGCTCTTTCCAATAGGCCATGCAGCAGAGCTTGGTGTTTATAAGGAAGTGAAGAGAACATATCCACAGCTCATTATAAAATAAAAGAAAAAAGTTATCAGATTTGGAAGCGTATGCCTTTTTATCTGATTTAACAACATGCCTGTTCAGTAGGAAGTAGAATGATAGATTTGTAAAGAGAAAAAGAATCATTATGGAATACCAGTTATTCATTTCTGCCTACACTGACACATTTCTTGTCACCTACCATTTCATTATTATCTTTTGAGAAACAGCTGTTCTCTTACCAACATTAAACTCAGAATAATAACCAAATATGTTTGTGATTTCCTTTACGTTGGTAAAGCTAACTGTACAGTCATGTGTCGCTTAATGTCCAAGATATGTTCTGTGAAATAGGACGTTATGTGATTTGGACGCTGCACGAACATGCCAAAATCATGAGCAATAGTATTCACTGATTTGCCACCTTTGTGTTGTTTAATAACTTTTTGTTTCACTTCCAGATAGATACTTCTCCTTTGCCTCTTGCTACTGCTATCACTAGCACTGGTTTTGCTGTGTTTGGGAACCATGATGCACTTCATGGTAATATTTTCGAAAGAAAATTAAACAGATAATGC